CTGATCTGAGCGCTGGTGTCGACTAAAAATAAATATCCGTTACTTCGGTCCCGGATATAATATAGACGACTCTCTTGTTTTAATCCAGCAGCTAATGTTGTCTTTACTTGCTGCCGGTACATTCGTTTCCCTGGTGTTGTGTAGAAATGTGAGAAGTTTTCGAATTGAAATTGCATGGTTCTGTGCACTTCCTTACATTTCTTCCAAATTTATAATGATACCAACAGGTATCGTGTGTAATTTGCTCTCTAGAGAAAGAGTTCGATCTACTTCGACGTCTGTGTGGTGAGTAAGGATCTATTTCTGAATGTTGGACAAGAACGCTGAGATTTCTGTGCTTGTACCAGACTCTGTACTTGTAAGCTGAGATTCGCCATTTGCTTTTAGAGCTATATTTAGCTCCCCACCCCCCACGTGGGGTAGCATGTGGCACAAGGCCGAGTTTAATGTGGGTCCTCCAAGCCCGTAGGCCCGGCCAAAAATATAGCCTTCGAACCCGCCTAGATGACTTGTCTGGTAATGTTGCTGTATCCATTGGTGCATGTGATGTGGCGTATACATTTTTGTCTTGGTTGTTGTCATGTATTTTGTCTGCTATTTCTGCTATTTTCTCCAGCTGTAAATCATTGACGAGTGATGCGAGTATCTGTGTTGTATGTGTTTGTAGTTTATCCAACCACAGTTTCTTAACACCACTTCGGACATGGTGTTGTCTCCTAATAAGGATCGCATTTTTCTTAAAAGCTGTGAAGGTTTCATATATCCATGGTTCACATTATTGAATAAGTCGTGTAACCTTCTTTCCTCCGATTTACCGACACGTCTAATAATTGCAGCATTTAATGTGTCATAAGGTTTTTCTTTCCGGCATGTCATTAAGTGGATCCACTATCTTGGATGCTACATCTGCGGGAAGTTTTTCGACAACGTAGGCGTATTTTGAACTTTGCGATGTAATTTTCTTTGCATTGAAAATTGCATTTAACTGTGCAAACTAAATTTGTACATTAGTTGGGTTGTAAGTTGGTAAGTTAATTGTTATAGCGGCTTCCATAGGTTCCGTAGTGTGTGTATCCATTTTCTATGTGTCTTGATGATTGTGGTTATATGTTAAAAAAATGTGTTGCTTATTTTGTTGAAGCTTTTCTTTCAGTTGGAAATTTGCGAGTTCATTTCATGTCGATTGGTCACCACTTGTAGGGTTCAGCGTACCCGGATTAAAAGGAGAATTTAATACGGGATACCCTGCCCACAAAATACAACACAAATTTCAAGAAGAAACAACACGATAAGGAACGTTTGTAGAAAATAGAACATTGTATATTTATTATCTTGTGAATAGGGTAAAAAAGATTAATGCTTTAGTTAGTTTAAGCAAAATGTGATTTTGACAAAAATGTCTGTGTTTGCTGTCTATTAACAGAGTAGCAGAGTAATGTCGGTTTCTTTTGTTTTTGTATATGTGTAAAGGAAAAGGGTCGATCAATTTAAGTTTTAAAAAAGGGTGTGGATGAGAAATAAAAGATAAGAGGAAAATGTACTTAAGAGTTAGTTGTAAATTTGTTGTTGTTGTTCTTTCCTTTGTGTCGAGTTGAGTCAGTGTTGGAATTTACTGTCAGTCTTCTGTGATCTCTGTGCCCTTCTGACTGGCGACTGACTTGAAACGCTGTATTTATTGTTGACTTTTTTTTCACACTGGCTCGTTATCTTTTTTTGGTTTAGGAAATCGCCTCCTTTCATTGGTCAGAAAATTCATTTCACACCTTATTGCGAAATCTGTTTTTAATCGTTTTGATCCGATTTTGCGGGTGTGCAATCTACTTTGTGTTTTTTATTCACTTGTTGGAATGATATAGGATTTGTATCCTATACCCCTCAACTCAATGAACACATCAAATTCAAAAATCCCTTTTACAGACTTGAAAGTCACAATTAACTCTTACATCTTCAACCAATAGCAAAAATCATGGAAAATATGCATGAAGAACAAACTATATCAAATGAAACCCATTCTGACTGTATAACATCACAGTACCAAACACTCAAGTAAAGATGATGTCAAACTTAAGAATCAAAATTGGACATAGCCATATAACCCACTCCTTCCTCCTAAAAATGAAGACCCTCCAAAATGTCCAAAAAGAAGTACTCACTGTTAAACATTTTTTGATTAACTGGAAAAAACTGGCACCTATATGAAAAAACTTCAACAATGTACCCAACACTTCGAGTGTTGAACTGAAAGCCATTCTGGAATTCTTAAAAGTAACAAAAAACTCTACCACAAAATATAAAAAGGAAACTGAATAAACACCCAGCTACAAAATGCAACTAAAACTGAATTACATCTCCACCTTTATATAATAACCCCTTATAAAAGAATATGTCTGCAAAATAAATACAAAATAAAAACAAATCTTAATACTACCTGATTCGGCATGAAATGTCTTTTGAGGTTGGTGTGCCAGTAAAATATCCCATCTAAATTTTGCAAAGTCAAATGGCTCTGGTGCAGTTAATTTGAACATTTTCCTTTTTGATAATTTTTTTTTTTTTTTTTTTCAAAATGGGTTCTTCTACTTCACTGGGCTTAGGGTGAAAAGATAAATTATGACATTGGCTACCGAAAAGCTGACGCAACACAAAGACAACTATTTTATTCACTTTTGTTGCTTGATCCGTTTGCTCCCAGCATTCCCTAGTGTGACCAGAGGTGCTTACAAATCATTATTGTCATTATTGATGTTATAAAATAATACACATATAATAATAGAGGAGGTGAAGGTTAAATAAGTTTAAAAATCAATCAAAAGGCTGTTTAGTCATATGAGGTTGGCTGCATGTACAAAATTTCACTTCTCCACAAGCATTTATCTTTAGATGTGTGGCACAAGGCTAATAATACAAAAGATGACAACAATGATGTAAAGCAATAACAATATTTATATAGGAATAATACAAATTATCAATAATAAATTGCTCAGAATATTTAGCTGAACTATGCTGAATTTTAAAGATCACGATTAATTTAGCAAATTAAATTGTTTTATAATGTTCCTTTTAAGAAAGTGTTTTTGGTACAAAATTTACAATACAAAAATAAGAGTTCTTTATCCTTTAACTATGAATTTAATTGTTTGAAAACTATTTTTTGAAAGAAAGAATATTTATCTGGTCTCACAATGAAAAAGAGTTTGTTTTTACAAAAAATGTTCTTTGTGAAATAGTTGAAAGTTTCTATGTAATATGAATACTTTGAGAATTTGTTTGGTAAAAAGGAACTTTAAATTATTACTTGATGTTTCAAGAAGTTTTTGTTTTTGTACTAAATGAAATTTAGTTTGTGTACTTCTGAAATAAATACAATAATAAATCTTGCCACTAAAAAATAAATGTTCAGCAAAGAGTAAATTCCGGTGAATAGAACTGAACGAGAAAGTTTCTTTGAATTATGTCCTGAAAACATGAAAATATCTTCAGTAAACTTGTAGCTTCAGAAGACTTTTCTTAAGTATTTTTCTTGCTGGTGAAGAATTGGAAAAACTGGAATATCCAAGTTAAAATTTTCTAGGTTAGTGGCAATGTGTCTTGTTAGTTAACTTTTAAAAAGATCTCACTGTGAGAGAATTGAAAGAATTCTGTAACTTGAAGTTTAAAGAGTGAATGTTCTGTAATGTTTGTAGATGTGCGTTGTCTGTAGAAATTGTTGAATGTAAGTCAAAGTGTGTTTGGAGTGAATGTTTAATTAGTTTCTGTTGCATGTAGTTGAATATTTATTGTTGATGCTTGTAATGTTCGTAATACTTGTAATTAGGTTTCTGTTTTTATGTTTACATGTGCGTGTGTGAGTATATTTTCATAGCATTCACCAACAAGGGGTCGAAACACAAGTTCTTTAGTTACTACATCTTGTATGTCAGAGAAGACAAGAGAGGCCAAAAAGAGGAAGAACTTGTGTTGAAGTATCTATAATAAACATAATCACGTGATCGTCTCCAGGCGTTGTACAGACATAGGCAAGAACATGATTTAAATATTAACTGACCAATGAGAAGTGAGAACATATCAAGGCTCCCTCATCCACTTTTTGTACAGAATTTGTGCAAAAATTAACATTGAAACAAAAAAAGTGGTAACAGGATGCTAAAATGTCTTTTAGTTTGAAAAAATATAGAGGATAATCTTTACCATTTCATGTGTTTTCAGAAGTTTATGAAAATGATTCTGAAGAATAAAAAGAATAAAGAAACATTTTTCTTACCTCTGAGACTACAGAAAAATTGCAAATGTCCACTTTCACTTTATAGATGGCTTACTGTTAATTTGTAAGGGAACCTATATTCAAAGTACTTTGTAGAGAATTACAAATGTTCGTTTTTGCTGTATCTTTCCAAGTTTTCATAGCTAAATAGCTTGAATTCTTTTTTTTAGATCTTACAGTGCCATTATTTTATTGCATGACATAAAAATGTGTCATCATTACACTTAAAGGATGATTGTGTTACATTTGTTGTTAAGTATTTTTTTAACATTTCATACCATCACCAGTTAATGCTTTCATTTACATAATCTTTCCCATAAATAAACATTTGGGTTGCCTCTGCAGTATTATTATCTTTTTGCCATATGAGTTCTGTAGACATATTCATAGTTAATAACTAAATCAGTTGAATCTATGTTTGCCCATTTAAAACTGAACAAACATGTACTAGCATGTATTTTTATCATTAATGAATTTTAAAATAGAGAACGTATTATTTACTCTGTTGCTATTAGATTTTGAGCATTACTTATGCAGTGATATAATTGTGATTATGTTGGTCCTAAAATAACATAACATTTAATAGAAATTTATTGACACAAAGCAAAATCTAATACAAGATCAAAACATTTTAGTGTACTCACTGAGAATAAAGCTTACCACCAAATAGTCTGTATTTTATTTTATTACTCTGTATTTGTTAAGCATATTTTTTTAATAAATTTATTTTCAATTACAGGAAAAAATGTTGAAAGAACATTATATTGCTACAAAGCTAGACCCAATGAAAAATGCTACCAGTATGTTTTGTGTGTTAAAACATGTTCAAACGTAAGTATCCTAAAGTATGATTGAAAATTAATGTAACAAGCAAGAAGAGGCTACTTGATTGAGTTTGTTTTGAAAAAAAAAAAAACAATTAGTTTAATGAAAAAATAAAATCAGTTTCTAGATGCTCCTTTACATGACCAAATCTTTGGAGTTTGTCGGGTATGCTGATAAGTTCTTGGTCAGACCAAGATGCTGTTCATGAAGATTACTGATGCTTGGTTATATCTTGGAAGTAGGTAAGCTCAAGAACTTTTCAGCATCTCCTCATAGTCTTTTCAAAATTATAGAATTATTTATAAATTGGGAAAATATCCAATGATTCCTTTCAAGTAAAATTAATAAGGAAATAAAATTCTTGATTGTAGAAGTGTCATTTTGTAAGTGAATTGAGAAAATTACTCATAAAATTGAACCAAAGGAATTTCAGTAAAGATGAAAAATAAAAATTTGCCTTGAGACATTTTTGAAAAATTTATTTTATTATAAAGAATTGAATATAATTTCAGTATAATTGCAAAACTTTTTGTTGTAAACCATTTTTGGAAACAATGTATTGTGTATAAAGAGATATTAAAACCTATCTTATGGTGAATTATCCCAAATTAAGATAAACTGTTTTTATTATTGAACTTCCTCCAAATCTTGATTATTTTTTTTCATTTTTATCTCAATTCGTTTTCTTTCTTCCCAGTAAATTGCAGAAGTGAGTTGACAAATATATATATGTTTTTAATAAGAAGTACAAAATACCATACCAATGTATTTGAGAATTTGCTATCTTGTATAGGCCTTTACTATATTACCTCATGTATGTCTTCACTACATTGTACTTAATGTAGATTTTTGTACATAACGTATTATCTTCTGTATATATTTGGATATCATTTGTATTTGTTATATTAACTTGTGTATGCATTTATTATTTTGTCTATGCTTTCCTTTTTCAGTTTTAACTCTCTTATAGACTTAATGTCATTCTTTACCTGGCTTCAATGTGTACAAATATATATTTTTACTGTCAAAGTTTATGTCTCAATTAAGGGCAGCAGTTTATTTTTATTTAATTGAATAGCTATTTTATATTTGCCTTGTTCCTGAAATTGTCTTACAATAAGTGTTAGCCATGTATCTTGTATATGCTTGTGATCAGTTTTAATTTATTTCATTATAAAGAATCACATATAATTGCAATATTATCTTACTCGAAAAGCTGAAAATTATACCATTCTTGATAACTTCTGTTATCTCTTCTTTCAAATTTTGAAAGTATATTCATATAACTATTATTATTGCTATTATTATCTTTTGCTTTCTGTTCAATACAATTCCTTTCTGGACCCAATACATGATGTAAAACAAAGTAGTAATTATATGCATTCTATTTAAATAAATCCTGATGTTAAATGATACTTAACATATACAGTGTTTATATATTTTCTTTGCTGAGCAGTCCAACACAGTGAAACAGAGGCTACCAGAGATGTTGGTAATGTTTTTGTTTTTACCATTTTTTATTCTATCAATGGCTACAATTATTATAGGTTTGACAGTAGTTTTAAGGTTCTACTTTTTCAGTTTCAAGATCATTATATTTACTTATTTTTTCATATTCTTTAATAGATATCTTTTTATCTGATAGCACTGCCATATTTCAGAGAAGGTATTTTTTTGAATTGTCATCTTTAATAACTATGTTTTGTCTATTAACTTTTATAACTTTTTAATATTATTATTTTCCAGAAAACTTCCATGGCAACAATCTCAAGCAATTCAAATATGTAAAATTTTGGGTAACAGCATGATGAAAAAAATTCCACCAAAACAAGCTAAATCCTTTAAAAATAAATGTATGGTTGTAAGTAAAAATATAAAAAAAAGTATTTAATGCTTTATAAATTTTCTGATTGACTCTTTATAAAGTAGAACTGAATCTTTGTTACTTTGTGATTTGGGTTTTTTTTCTCCAAGAATAGCTAAAGTTCACGACAGTATGTTCAACATTATTTGTTTTAAATCTGCAGTGACATTTCTTGTAGCCACAAATACAAATCAGCTCTAAAATCGTTTATCATGGTAAATTTTCAAATGGAAAGTATCTGATAAGTTGATCAACAAATTTATCAAAAAGAATTACACTTTATTTCTTGACTATTTCAAACAGGCACTTTGTTTTACTGTCAAATTAAATTATTTATTATTGAGAAGTGAATATTAAAGAACAAAAATATTGACAAAAGTGATACTGCTTCCAATAATTTCCTATTCTAATAGTCTAACTGTCATCCATTTATTTCTTCAGCTGTTAAAGAACAGGAATATCACTTTCGCTGACATGGGATCGATGAATGCTTTCTTGGAGGTGGCTGATATCCAAAATTTGGATCCTGAAATTATCCTGCAAGGTGCTGTGGTATTAGGAAGATATATATGGAAACCGTCAGTGTTCAATGAAATTGGTAAAAAATTGTCAGACATAACCAGGTAACTTCACCATTTTGCATGTTGCAAGGAGCTATTTTCAATAATTTTGAATAAAGTTGAAAAATGAAAGAAAATAAAAATAAAACAAGTCATAAGATTAAAACAGAAATAAAGAACCATTATGGTTCTTTATTATTAATTATTTGATTGTCCTTTTGATCTTATGACTAAGTATTTCATTTTCATTCTATTTTACAAGCTTTAAACGACATTCCAGTTTGACCACAGACCAAGTAGCTCAAGCTAACATCTTCATTGCTGCCTGGAGTGATGCTGACCAGATTCCAAAAGTAAGTACCAAGAATTACTGTGCATGTATATTTAGGCATTATGTGCATGTATATAAGGATTATGCTACAAGACATTTGGTTAAACCCGTGAGGAAAGGAGAAAAGTTTGTTTTTTGTTTTTTTTACAAACATGGATTTTTAAAGGCACCAATCTCTACAGCCAATCATCTGTGTTTTTTGATGTTATTGTGATTTAAACTCATTAACTATAAACAGTAATAGGGTTTCTATGCCATCATATAAATAATAAATAAATGTTACAGATACATAAAAGAAAAAACATTAGAATGACTGAGCTAAGAAAAAAATCTGTTTATAGTTCAGTACCATTTTAGTAAATGTTAAGCTTCTAATCTTGAATACAAAATACAATCTGTATGTGGCTCATGAAACTACCAAGTGTGGGTCACAAGAGATTTTTTAAATAGTAAATTTTTGTGTTTTTCAGAACAAAATTCAGTAACTGATCACAAAAAATTCAGTTTTGTAGAAAAATGTCTTTATTCAACAAATATTCCACTGTCTTTATATCTAATACTTTTAACTCTTCAAAGGAAAAAAAAGAATTTTCTTAATATTCCTCTCTATATTTTGCATTGAAAATTCTATTCATTGCTTTTATCCAGACAATAACTGATTTAAATTCAGGTTTCCAATGCTGTAACAATGAAGAATAAAGAAACTCATTTGAAACTCCTGTATTGGTAGAAATGGGTGGGTAGAGTATGTAGAGAGCCAGCATTAACCTGTTCTCCAAATGAAGAAAGTGTGTGCATGAGGCAGGGGTTGAGAAAATCCAACCCCATAAAAGTGTGTTAAAAAATGATGATGACTTTCACAGGAAGAAACTTCATCAATTATTGCTAATTATTGTGTCATGATTTTGTCTAGAGAAAAGGGGATAACACAGAATGTCAGTCACTCAGATGATACAAAGAAGAGTCGTTGACATTCATGCAAACTTGACTGATCATTTAAAGCTGATAGCAAAAGATCTTTGCTTTTTTTCACTAGTGATAGATGAAAGCATAGACTACCAAGATACAGAATTAATATCAAAACTATATTGTTTCTCTGTAATTAGCAATTTGTGCAATTACTAATTACAACTACAGTGACACTAAAATATTTATATTGAAGCTGTAGGTATGGTAATTATTTTATTTTATTTTTTTAGGAAAATGTATTCCAGGCTCATTACAGTATTGCTGTAACTGTAAGGCTATTACAGAACAAAAAAATTAAATGTTTAATTGAAATCCAAGACAATAAGGAATGTAATGCAATGGACACGATCATTAAAAGAGTTGTTCAGATTCTTGTAAGTGCTGAAGCTGCTACAAATAACAGACGCAAAAGAAGCATCACAGGTAATTTCTCAATTTCAGAACGTCTATCAAAATGAACAAATTTGAAGAAACAGATCAATAGTAAGAACAAGTATGTAGCGTGAAAAGAGCCAAAATTATAAATATTCTCTCATCTATTATTTATACAGATATAATGGATAGGATTAATTATTCAATGAAAGAGAATGAAACCCAAGCTCTGAGTAATAAATGTTAAATCTTTTTTGGTGATAAATTAATTTGCTTTTTTTTTTGTTTTGCTTTTTTTTATAGTTTCAATCTTGAAAAAAATGTAACTATAAAAAAGCTGAATTCTGACATTTTTCTGAAATATAATTTCATTTATTAAATTTTTAAATCTAAAAAAACTGAGCATATTTGCATGACAGCAGGAAATCTGTACCAAATGTGACAAAAATTGAAAGAAGAAAAAAAACTGAGAAATAGAATTCTAACTTGGTGTGATCTTTGCTTAAGGTATACATAATGTGCTCTTTTATTATCATTTATACATAATCATTGATTTGTATTTTGTAATTTTTAAAAGCAACCAGTAAAAATTTATTTCACATTCAAAATTTTGTCTTCCTCCATTTTATATAATATATGCATTACATGACAGTAATCTTTTCAAAACATTTCCTATTTTATTCAACAATTACCTAGTGAAGTCAAATTACTCTACATTTATAATGTAGAGTAATTCATAAGAAATGAGCAACCAGTAAAGTTGTTTTATTGATTCTAAGTTTATAAAGGGTGATACAAGTAACTTTCCATTTTAAAATTTAACTTGTTTTTATTAAAAAAACTAAATATTTTTTCCTCTTAGACTTATTTTAAACTTTGGAAATCCTCCCCACAATTTTCATTTATTTGTATAAAAGAAAATCATTTAAGTTTTGAAATGGAAAGTGATTTTTGTGTACTACTCTAGGCTATTCCATTACTAATATAAATATCCTAAACTCAATTGATCAACTGATTTGATAATAGTCTGTTTTATTATTTTTAGTATGGTCTTGTATTTTGAGATAGGGTTGTTTTGGGTTTTATTTTCATTCTTTGAGACATATTTCTATCCCAAAAGTAGCACAAAATTTAATTTCGTTTTATAAAAGATATTTTTCCAAAGACAATTTGTTTATTCATCTGTGCATTTTTATGAATCCATTAAATAACTCCTTTTATTATTCCTATTTGTTCAGCTTCTTGTCACTGCTCAAATATAGCGAGTCTTGGAATGGCTGCAGTCCAGATGTCTGCCAACCAAATGTCTGAAATGATCTGTGCTTCTAATTTTGATGAATGTATTGAGGAACTTAGCCAAATCACTGACTGGAATCAAGAGCACCGACAAGTTTTTGTAAAAATGGCCTTAGAGGTTAGTAAATTTATTCTAGATTGAATGTGATAATATTAGCATGCTCATATTTGGTCTATTGAAATACTGATTTTGGGAAGGGGTTTAAACTAAGAATCATTAGTTTTCATGGAAACTATAGTAAAATAAGTACTAGCCTAGCTGCCCTTCAGGTGGGTTTTATATTAACTATTGCAGAGGGCTTTTGGGCATTCAGCCTCCTATGTATGTAAAACTTATAAGAATTTAGAAATAATAAAATTATTTTATCTTTGACACCTTAATTCAGCATAATCTTTCTTCATATATGCAACCAATCTCTGTAGTTTGTTTACATTTTTTTTGCATGTAATTTTGATTTTTTTTTAAAATCATCATTCTTTATGATCTCTTCACATAAAGTCACTCTTAAAAGACACAGGGAATCCAAACTATGTAATAATTTGAATACATCACATTACATGTGATAAAAAAAACCCTGAAAAACATGAGCAACATACCGTGCTCTGCTTAAGCTTTAATTAGTGACAATATCAATTGCAATTGTGACAGAAAGTGAAATTAAAGTTAAACCTTTAATAAAGATTTATTCTTAAGCCTTTCATTGTTTGATCTTTAAATTTAAATGAGTTATTTAATTTTTAATCACATAAAAGTTACTTATGATTCACTAAGATAAAAAAAATGGCAAGACACATGTTTATATAGAAGATCACAACTATAAATTTAGACCTGAGATACTTTTCAACTCTTAACACCCAAATTCCAAATTGTTCCCTCAACATATTTAAATTGCCTCCTTGTTGAATGGGTATATTTAGTCATAAATTTTTTTTTTTTAAATAAACTATTATTCATTATGAGTTGTCTGATCCATCCTACATGATTGTTTCCTTTTTGTTAAGATTTGGGGCCAACCAACAAATTGGAACTCAAGTATCATGGCAATTGCAAGTGCAGTCATACCTGGTTTGTCAAAAGATCAAATCAAAATGTTAACCTTAGATTCAATTGATACCACTTTTTATCTTGGAAAGCAAAACAATTGGGAAGCAGAAAAGGTAAACTATAGAAGCTTCTTTAATTTATTCATTTTAAGTTCTACTGTCTTTGATCAGTCAATAAGATGAATCTTTAATGGATCTGGCAATAGAATAGGCAAAGTTTTAAAAGCTGTTATGAACAATTGAAAATGAAAACATTGAATGAAGAACAAACAATGAATAAATTCAATGTTTGTTTATTGAATTTTAGGATTAATGAAATGACAAGTCTTTTTTCTTGTCAAATATTTAATTAGGAATTTCTTTTTTCCAGCTGACAGAAATATTTATGTTGTTCCTCAAAAAGTTAAAGAACAATAATATTTCTAGCATCACCAGTTTTGATTTGCAAGCATTGGGCAATATTGCTTGTGGCATAAGCCCAGGCAACATACAACAGATACCCACATTGAGTTACATGTAAGTAGTTTTCTAAATCTGTCAATTTTCAATAAACTTTCTCAACAAAATTATCACATATATGTAACTGCTCCACATGACTTTTTCAGGTAACATGTAAGGGCTTAAAAGCAAAAATTCCTTTTATCTTTGACTTCTTCACATTCTTTCATGTTGGTCATGTAGATTCATTATTATTCAAATGTCTAGTAGTCTCTTCTTTTGACATTAAAAGCCCAAATTATTGCTTAATGCACTCAGCCATCATAATTTGAAAGCAGTACCATACAATAACAATGAATTGACGCATTTTTGCACAATATCAATCTAAATGAGGGAGGACAAAATTAAGTCAGTATTAATGAAGTCAGTTACATTAACATTTTGTTTACTTATACAAACATTTTTGTTGTTGTAGTAATGCAGCAAGTCAAATTGGAAACCTAAAGATCTGTTCACAATCTCAACTAACAGCTTGGTCTAAGAAAGCAATGGATATATATGGCACTGATGTCAATACATGGGGATTGGCAGAAATTGCTAGCATTGGATCAGTAATCAGTGAGTATTTTAAGTGATAAAAAGCAGAGATTAATACAAGCTCTTTTCTGAAATGAACAAAGACAGTTAAGAGATGTGAATACAGAATTTCACTTTCTCAACTAAAAATTTATTTAAGCAATGGGAAAAAAATCTTTTTTGTCCAGAAATTGTTAGTATCCAACTATTTAATCAGTTGTAATTTTTTTTAATTAACACCTCATTGCAAACATCTCAAGCATCATGAGCCTGTATCCATGCTGTATGAACATTAGACATGGTCTTAAAATAAACTCTATATCATAAAGACTTTACTTTTTCTCAGTAATTATTATTTGTTTCAATTTTGTTAAATGACAATCACCTTATTGAATTGATTTTTTTCAGATGGTTTTTCCACTGCAGATCTTCAAAAATTAAATGAAAGACAAATTGCTGCCATCAGTCTGAAAATTATACCTATGATACTACCACAAAAGCTGGCTGTAAGTAAAAAAAATGGTACAAATTTTCACAACTTATGTGTTATGCAGTAAATATTTCAGACAAAAAGGTAAAATTGTTTAGGAAAAAAATTATACACTTTAGGCTAAGTAAATTTAACTAACTTTTATCACAACGTTTCAGCCATTGTGATCTCCAGCCTTCCTCAAGTTTATATTGGTCTGGCTGACTTACAGGAAGTCTGAACTGAACCCTTTAATCTACAGTAGACTGTTCTTGTTCCACTGCTCATGTTTAGTTCTCATTTTTATTTAGTCCTGTTCAGTTATTGCTTGCCCGTTTCTACTACAAGTATACTCTGCCTGACCCAGGGATTGAACTCACAGCCACTGTGTTACCAAATTCACAACTCAATGCTTATAATCACTAGGCAATTTGCTAGAGTAAACAGAACCTTAAACCTAATCTTGCTGATTATGCTACAACTACTGCTGCTGCAGTTGAAGACTTGCTGTTATTTGTCTTTCTTTATTAGCATTTCCCATATTGTACTATTTCTATGCTAGGCCTACTAAGCAGGTTCTTATAGCCTAGTATATGTGCCCCCACTGCATGATCAGCCATGCCCAATTTCATTGTCTCATGTCTCACTATGGCTTTTCAATGTTCCCCTAGTCTTACTTTTAGGGGGCAGCTAAGAGTACATGCAATTCTTGGTAATATTCTTCCCGGTGTTTGGCTTTACTCAGCAGAGATTTCTCCATAGATTGGAACAGTTTCTGAATATTGTCTTGGTCTTGTATGGCCCACAAATCCTCTGAATCTTTTCAGATAAGTCCTTAACATAAGGTAGACAGACTGTGGTAATTTTCTGGTTCATCCTCTTTATCCCACCTGTAGATCCTAATGGCACATTTGCCAGGTAGTTATTCTGATGGGTAAGTTTGATGCTGATCATTTCTTGTTGGTACATGTCTGGCCACTTCTGACTTTTGCCTAGTGTTGTAAACATCAATCTCTTTCTTCACACTGTATGGACAGTGGCAATTGAAGTTGAGGTGAATGTTGGCTTATGACCCAAGAAGGCTAGATGATTATTATTTTCTTCAATTGTGAACTGGTTTAAAGGTTTTATTTAGTTCACATGACCCAGCTATATTTGTACAGCTTCCTGACGTGGCCATAGTGGGAAGGTGTTATCAACATATCTCAGACATACTGTTGGCTTTAATGGCGCTGTTTCCTTGAAGTATTCCATTTATATGTTTGCCATCACTGGTGACAATGATGAACCCTTTGCTCCTGTTGGAAGAATTGTTTGTACAGAACATCAACATTTCCATCAGATTATCTATTGGAATGTTAGTATGTTCTCATAGGAAGGGGTCTAATTACCATCAGTTTCAAACCACTGTAGAAACTCTGGTGAACAGGCTTACCACATCCAATTGTTATGGATGGGATCAGTTTCACTAGGTGTTCCAATAAAGAGTTCCTTGCTAGTGAGTTGACTATACCCACTAGAAATCTGCTTGATGGGTGGCATACTGAGTCCCTGCAGCTATCAATCTCAATAAAATACCAACTTTGTGAGTCTTGGGGAAACTATATATGTGTGGTAGCTTGGTACCTTTTTAGTGTGACATAGTCCTTGTTATTTAGGATCTGTGAGTTTCCTCTCAGCTTTTAGGGCTGAATTCTTTTTCCACTAACAAGGAGTATTCCAATTTGTCCAGCAGCCGGCAGTATGAGGATACTATAAGGTCTTGATTGCCAATCTTTCTTCCCTTGTGATGTTTCATTTCGGCAGTTTTCCATCTTAGCTCATCTGTTTATTTTCCTGTTTTTGTAACAGAGTCTACACCCAATACAAATTGGCTACCTGACAACATCCCAAGTCCAGATGGTCACTTTGGCACAAAAAAAAGAAATGACTGAAGAACAGATGAATGAATTAAATAAAAAAGTCCTTGGAGCAGTCACTACTGATCAGAACAACAACAACAACAACAACAACAACGGAGGTAATGCAACTTAAATCTAAATATGGCAACTATTTTTTGAAATATTTTCTTTCTGGAAAGAAATTCTGTACAAAAATTATATTTGAGGAATAGAATATTTTATGTAAAATTTATGCAAAAACTTCATACTTAATTTTAATTCATGTATTTTTAGTGATGTTCTAAAAGTAGATTTTAGCTATGTTACAGTTCCATAATTGTTAGTGCATAAAATTTGTCCTAAGACAGTTGTAAAAATAAAAGATATACCCAATGTAAATGAATTATTTAGTGCCTGGAACTATTAATTTATGGTTTAAGCATTTTTTTTATTATTTTAGAATATAAAATAGTATCAGGGTTCCATTTAATGCATTTTTGTAAGGAAAATTTTTTTTTTTTTTTACATTAAAGTTTTTATTTATTTATTTATCTAACTTTATGGGAATTCTTTCCCAACATATTTTATGTATTAGAAATTTATCTGCTAAAATATATAAACAATGGCAATTTAAAAAATTACAATCTTTGATTGTCTTAACAGTCTGCTTTAAGTTGCTCCATGTTAATTATAAATTTCTGTCTAAGAGTAAGCAAGACCGAAAGAGAAAATCTTAGAATCAGCAATGATTAATAGCTTCCAAGTTTTTAGATATTTACTACCGTTTGATAGAAATTCAAGGTAGCAATTATATGCATGGAAAATTCAGTGTTCAAATTTTGACTTAGTTCACTCAGCACTTAATATCCATGGGGGAAGGTATGAATGCATATATGCCTTTCCTATAGTGAAATAATGGTTGATGAAAAACAAGTTATACAGGGCACACCATTTCCATTGTACCTCTTATGACCAAACCATTCTTTATTGCTTTCCACTCCCCAAATTGATAAAACTAATCTAATATTGTAGAGACAGTACCTATTGAGTTTTTGTCTGTTTGAAACAAATTCTTTTTCAATTTCTCAAATGTTTTTCTTCTTTCTCATCAGGACAAAAAATCAAGAGCAGCTATTTCAAGTTGTCAATGCTACTGCTTATTTCTGGAAACTTCAATCTTTTCATCTGGTTTTCCAACTAAAAATAAATATCAATTATCCTATTCATACTCACCCCATCGATTATAAATTTGACTTAATTTTGCCACATATATAAATTTTGTAGCTGATAGTGTTTAACATCTAAATCATTGAATTTCTAAGATGCCGTGATTTAGATATCCTTCTGTAGTTTTTTCTTCTTTATATTATGCCTTTTAACAAATTTTATATAATTGAAACTGCAATAAAAAGAATAAATTTGAGGCACAACTATTGTATGCTTTTTGATTTGATGCAAATAAAATAATTTTATTCAGAACTCATTTTCATTTTTTGTTTCCCACAAAACAGTTCATATGAAGTAAAATTAGTGTGTATAAATTTTTTTCATTGAAAAGCTGACTTTCTTTCCAGTGACTGACCTTTTAAATGCAGATGAAGCATGTTTTTCTTCAAATATTTAATAAACACATGTAGCTAAAATCTGATGCATCAGCAATGATATCAGGCCAGTAAAAAATTTCAAGTGACATGAGCATTGTAATATTTTTATGAATAAGATCACAGTAGATACCAATGGTCTTGAAGGTCAATGATTTGAAAAATAGTAACCATTGAGACTGGAAGGTTTTCCCGAACTGTTGGCTGCAGAGAATGAAATTTGTCAACATCAGATTTATTTGGTTAGCAAACACCATACAAATCCAGTGTATTCAGACTTGTTTCATGTTCTTAGCCATCTTGAAAAAAGATGCACTTTCCACTGAATCAAATCCTTGAGGAAAGAGTTTGAAGTACAAGATTACTTAAACTGGATTACTTTCGCTGAACCCTGTGTTTTTACAAGAAAATTTCAAATTGTGATTAACTGCTGCATTGTAAGGTTCATGCACGAAAGTTGTTTATGCTTTTCATAACATTATCTATTCACTACCTAGACATAATTTTGTTCCATCAAACTCACACCATTTCCAGATGGACAATTGGATTTCCGTGTAAATGTATATGCTGAACCCGAATTAACAATTAAATTATGAAGAAAGTTGGAGTTATTAACAAAAGAAAAAGAAATCTGACTTCTCATTGGTCTTTCGTCAACCATTACTGGCTTATTTTGAAGTAATTCACTGCGGCACACTTTGCGGCGGAGTCATAACATTTGGACCTATTTACTTCCTTTACAGAAATCAGTATGCACTTCCATAAAGAAACTTAACTTTCAAATATATGAAAGTATCGACAAATAAAAAAGTAATTTTTTTTTCTTGCTAAGTATTAACAAGAGGAAAGTTAACTTTCAAATATATGAAAATACTTATAAATAACAAAAAGAAAATAAGTAGTACACTAAAGCATTTTTTATTATTTAAAGTTGAAAATAAAAATCTTATAAAGTAGATACTTCACTTACAAATATACATAAAAATTAGATATCTATGATGAACTAGATTTAGGATCCCGTGCACAATTTCCTCACCTCCATCAGGAACATGTGAAGGCACTGACTATGTTTAGGGATTGCTTTCACAAACAGAAAGCGAGCAATATATTGCTTTATATAAGCAGTTCTGTGTCCCGATCTTTTTATTATACCCTTAGTCATCCTCCACAATCTTTCAACTGTTTGCATATGGATATTTTTGTCTGTAGAGTCAATAAAATGTTCACTATGATTTATCTGCTTGTGCATATATCCTTGGTCTGGAATTTACACATACACCAACCAGCAATCACTGTAAATGATTGATCTCGGGTCAGATGTGTCGCATAATCAAGGGAGTAAGGGTATGGGCATCCCTGGCTTTTCCTTCACCACAATCGGACGTAAGTGGAACCAGAAATGTCTTCTTGGAAACTTTCAATTCCGCCAAATAGCCAGACCATAGTCCCCAGTTATATTTTTGTTCTGAGAACTGTTTCATCGATCTCTACCTTGACACCGGGTACACCCAATTTCTCCTGCACGTTTTCTAACAAAAACTAGCACAGAAGGAGCACCAATTCACTGAAGCGTCAATCGCAATGTCCAAGTTTTCGAGCATTATCCTGTGGCACCAGCTAAGATAAAGGAAAGGTGTTACAAAAAGTAGCACTTTCCATGCAGGCAAGCATGACTTCTGCAAAAGTGTATTTTTCCTATCACCAACACTGAAGCCACATTGTTTTCCAGCTGTTAGGACAATTCGAACTGCTAGGACTGGAGACAAGTTTTCTGCAACGCCATACTTTCAAGTTAGCACGCAACAAGCAAGGTGAATGGCATCAAGGGCATTCCACGGAAGACTAATATTCTGTGTAGTCAAAGAAATTCTACTGAAGCCCCTCCATTCATTCGAAAGCGTTTAATTGCTTCATACACAGTGATGGAACAATTTGTGCAATTCAACTTCTTGCAACTTTTTATACATGCAAATAACTCATTTTTTTTTTTCACTTGTTTCAATTTGACCATATTTGAAAGTTAACTTTCTTCTAAAAGAAAAAAAAAAACAAAAAAACAACTTTGTTATTCTTTTATTTGTTGATATTTTCATATATAAAATATAGATCATTAAAAAATTAAGTAAAACCACACTTAAACAAAAAAAAAAAAAAATGCTTTGCAGAAGCACGTACTGATTTCTGCAAGGAATTTCTGTAAAGGAAGTAAATAGGCCCAAATTTTATGACTCATTCACTGCAAAGTGTGCTGCAGTGACGAAAGACCGACAAGAAATCAGATTTCTTTTTCTTTTGTTAATAACTCCAAAAATGGTAAGGTTTCTTCATAATTTAATTGGTAATTTGAGTTCAGCATGTACATTTGCACTATTTACATGTTTAAAAGGTATCCAAAAATCAATGTGAAAGAGAAAGGGATAATTAAACAAAAACAAAAATTATGTACAGTGCTTTATTTCAAAATATCCTGTCAGCATTAAGAGAAATTACAAATTACATTGACAAACTGTTAGCCAATTATGTCAATATCTATATCTTCGTCAGCTGCTTCATGCGTCGACAAGGATACAACTATTTCTTTTTTGAACAAACCACTCTCTTTTTCTTTTACTGCTTGCTCAACCTTCTTCATGATCGGATCATCAATCTTTGATATTTTCCGCTTCTGGGGGAAGACAAAAAACAGGAAAACTGAAGCTTGTAGAAAAAACTTTTGTAGATCCAATTGCTTTTTTTTTTTTTTTAATAAATAAATCTAATCACACATTCAACAGTACACAATGATGACAGAATAAAATTTACTTGAAAGGTTAAATTTCAAAATTTAACATTTTTGTAAGTTGCATTTGACGTTTGAAAGGAAAAAAAAAAATAATAGCATATTATTATCCATTCTCTGTTGCTAGTTGTCACAAATTCAAATTTCTGGAACTCATTCTGTTATATAGTTAACCAAGTTTTGTGATTCTTTAATCTTTAAGGAGTCAGTTATGAAGGATTTGATTATAACTATATATTTTTTTTTTTTAAAATAGATGCTTATTTGATATGCTAACTAAATTTTAGGATTAAGTGTCAATCTTGAATCGCTAACATGATGCATAATATGAACTTTCAATATTTTTTTTTTTTTTTTTAATTATTGCCCTAGATTGGTATTGAGCACTTAATTAGCAGAAATTGTTTTCCTTAACATGTGTAGCATTTTTACATCACATACAATAGCATTCTTAGATATATACTTATAGGATCAAAGAGAACTAGCAAGCTAAAAAATTTATCAATAATTTATCTTTTGTAATTTAAAACAAAATATAAGGAATTAAGAGTGATTAAAATCTTACAGACCAGCTACTATAGTTTCATCATAACTTAAAATCTCAGTGTTTGTAAGCTGATCTGAATTTTAAACCACTCTTAATCCCCACCGCACCCACAGCATCAGTGCAGTAACAAAATAAGAAATTAAATAATCAACATGTGAAGACAATTGTGAGAGTCATGAAGTGCAGACAGTTTGGCAAATGTTCCTTCACACAAAAATGTTGGTCATCTGCATTTATTAAAAAAAATCTTGTGTATCCATTACATATTCACCAAGATTTCAAATCACAGAATTACTAAAAATATTTCCATTTAAACTGTTTTTCATCTCTTAAATACATTCAAATGTGTCCAAAGGAAAAAAAAAAAAAAAATAAAAAAAAAAAAAAAATAACCCACACAATTACCTGTGATTTCTTTTTTGTACTTGTTTTATGTATGGTTTTACTGCTGACAGATGTAGGTCTGTGGTTTTTCAAATAGCTTTGAATTAACTTAAATTTTGTATCAGTAAAAAGGCATGAATCTGCAATAAAAAGAATATCCTGATAAAATCAAATGCAGTATCAAATCCCTAAGGGAGATTGACAGGTGGTTTTCCAACAGAAGATAGGTCATAGATTTTATGGATATAGTAAATAAGATTAAATGAATTACAAATTGAATTAGCACCTGGAATGGAGGTGTACATCAGTGCCAAAATTCAAGATATCAAATACTATAGTACTTTCCAAGAAGTTTCCAATCTGGAAATTTGGTATTTTTGTACACTTTTACTAAAATATTTGGGGCTTATTTTAGTGAAACACCACTTAGTCAGAATATTGATCATTGTCTGTTCTTCATGTAAATACTTTAAAAGAAAACACATTTTTATCAGTTCTACTTAATATCATGGAAAATTAAGTTAATATATGATCTTAATTCATAAATCAAAATCTTCGATCAAGTACCTATCACTAATTGTTCCTTTATTTCATGTTTTGGGAAGGTAGGTCTATGACTTTTTGAGTTTTCAAGCCAAATAGAAATTAAAAATTAATAACCACCTAAACTATATTGCATTTTGTTTCACCATTATAGTGGATAAAAATGTAACTATTTTCCTGGCTGTTTCTAGTAATGCAAATATGGTTGTTATTAGAACACTTCTTGCAACTGCTTAAAATGTGATTGTGTCTCAGAGTATAGTGCTTGTTATGGTGTAATCTTCCCTTTCACCCAGTTTTGTCTACACCCTGTGACAGTATTTAGCTATGGTAATTGGCTAACTAATTAACCATAGAAATTAAAAACAGGAAAGACTTAAGGCGAGAAAGAGCTATATAAAAAGATAGACTGAGCAACATTAAAAAGATGATTGTATTTTATTTACGAATAAAGATACATTTTGCACGAGACAGAAAATCTGTAAGAAAAAAAGCGAGATATGAGATTCTGTCAAAACTGATTAATGTCATGATAAGAGTGATGCACCAAGGGAAACAGAATTCAGAAAGAAAAACAAAGCTAACCGACATGGCAGCCATAAAAAGAAATCCAGCCTGAGACCACCGTGGTACAGGCAGAGAGAATCGATATTAGTTATCTTTCAGAGATATCATTTAATTTTAATTCCTGGGTCCAATGAAGAGAACCATCTGCTGTGTTAGAATTCTGGCATGAAGAGAACCATCTGCTGTGTTAGAATTCTGGCATGAAGAGAACCATCTGCTGTGTTAGAATTCTGGCATGAAGAGAACCATCTGCTGTGTTAGAATTCTGGCATGAAGAGAACCATCTGCTGTGTTAGAATTCTGGCATGAAGAGAACCATCTGCTGTGTTAGAATTCTGGCATGAAGAAAATCTTATTATTACTTATTCAAACTGTTGATGTCAGACACAGCATCGTCGAAAATGGGCATCTGGTGATAAGAGAATTTTAAGGCATGAGAAAAATAAAGAATTTGATTCTCAGGTAAAATACGGACCTCTCAGCTAAAACTTGACTTAGCAGTCGGTAGAGAGACCCGGCTGAGTGAATTTTGACCGCTGCCTCGCAGAAGCTGACCGAGAGATTTCCACGTCCTTTTCAACTTCCTACCAAAACAAGTTATACTGATTAATGACTTAAGGTACCAAAACTCGCTTAAGAAACGCAAAAGTGTCACAAATCCATAGAAACGGGCTGGGAGAGAAACACACTCCTGTATATAACAGACAGATAACGATAATTTGTTATTTCAACATATTTGAACCTCTTGAGTTTGTTTTATTGCATTTTTTACTTACGCTTGTGCGATATCACCTTTACCCCGGATTCAGCTTGCACTACAGACCAACGCCTGATTGATTTCGTCTAATAAGATCAAAGTAGTTACTTTGGTAACCAGACGTTGGAAGTGAGCTGGGAACGACAAAGCTGGTATCAAACCGAGAACGACAGGCTGGTGGTAGCGACAAAGAGTCGACCCCAAAACACTGGTGGAACCTTACAGCTTTGCACTGCAACTGGGAGTTGACCACAGGCCGACAGTGCAGTGTCACATATTGGCGTTGTGACCACCAGTGGGTGTCACACCCTTTCAGAGAAAACTTTAGCTGATTGTTTAAATTAGACTTATTTTATTTTGACAAGCAACATAAATTAAAAACATGAAATTTTTGCTTTTTAGTACACATGTAGCAAAATATTTTAAGATTTTAATAGATATTAATATGGTACTAAACTTCATAATGGCCCTTTCCTGAAAGTATTTAGGTTTTAACTAGTAGCATCAATCAAACTTGCTGATTAAAAAAAAAAAAAAAAAAAAATTTCCAATAACTAATTTTAAATGAGAATTAAGTTTAAGCATCCAATTATTTTCTTTTTTGTTTTTCCTTTCAGATTTAACAACTTTAGAAATTGCAACCATGGAAAGATTAACAAACAAGCTAGGTTGGTGGCAAATGTGAAAACAGGTGTGCTCGTTTATGTTGTTCAGCTGAAAATATTGCTGCAGTGCACAAGAATGTGCCCAAAAATCCAGACACCTCTATTCATCATTGCATGCAGGAATTGAACCTCTCCACAAGAAACATTACATCATTTCCAATTGCACTCTCTGTTAGTCAATTATGTTGACAAAAGAAAAAAAAAAAAAAAAAAAAGAAAATCACAATGCATTTGTTTGAATATCCATTTTCATAATAGGTTTTGATAACTAACACTGTTTGATTGTTAATCTTTCTATGGTTGAAATTGCCAAAGACTTAATTTGTTAAATCTGAAAGAAAAAGAAAAAATTCACATTTAAAATCAGTGCAACCTTTACTTCCCAATTGGCTGGATTATGTACAAAATCAAAGACTTAGCTAAGCCTGTAGTGAAAGATTTTTGGAAAGAAGTTTGTGTTGCATATGTAAACAAAGAAAAGATGAAGACTATTATGAACATTAGGTAAAGACCACATTAAATAAGCATCAGAAAGAGAAAAGTTGGATGTGCTGAAGAACAGATTTGTCAATAGTAACATTTAGAATGTAGAGATACACTGGATGTACAAAAGATTGAGTTCTTCATGGAAATAGTCAAAGTAAATGCAGAGAATTATTACAATTTGTTGAATATTTGAATGGTACAGTGATGAGATGATATCAATATTTTTACAGATCCTGATACAATTCCCAATATTGTTCTAAATTTCTGATTCCTATACCTACAACGATTAAAATTCATTTTCAGGCCCTACATTTGGTTTGGGAAACTTAATGAATGAAGTAAATTTATTAATAAAACATTTAATAGAAAAATGAAAACAAAAGCTTATGAAATAAAGTTAGATATTCTTTTTATTTAAAAAATTGGGTAAAAGTTTAAACAATAAAGAGAACAATTTCTTTAAATCACTTAAGTACCTAGATACTTATATGCAAACCCTAATATCCTTAAATTATAATGTAAGAACTTTATCTCCCGTTTCATCTTTCAGTTAATTCCTTTTTGGTAAGAGGGAGGTGCTGATAGATATTTCCTGGCTAAAAGCGCTAAGATGGGAAATTCATTTTTATTTGAATTCCACCACTGAAAAACATTCACTTTTTATATATTTTTTATTTTTAATATACAAGGTGTTTATGTAATTCCCACCAAAGGAAACGTAAACACCTACCACCTTTATATGATCCTTTGGAATAAGTGCTGATTGAAAATCCTTATAAAGGAATCTTATTTTTAATTTAAGTTTTAAACAAAAAAAAAAATTCAAAGAATCGTTTTTGCGATCAGAAATTAAGTTAAAAATTTCCAATTCCACATAAAGTTCCAATATTTCCAATTATGATAAATCATTCCATCACTAGTTACAACCAAGAAACTAAGCTCAAGAACATATTCATGTAAGACAATGCTCCTTCACATTCTGCAATGCTGATCATCTTGCCAAAAAAGTTTCAAAGATACCAAATTAATTTGATATTAATCAAATAGAAAAAAAGCAAAGATCTGTGAAAAACAATATCTGCTACAAGTAATATTAAATTTCAAACAGTAGGAAAGTTAAAAATCAATGAATAAATTATAGAATATCAAGATGTCTATATTAATATGTAAAAAAAATTTATTCATCAAAGCAGGATACTGTTGCCACCAAATATTTGTTTCTGTAGCATATATCTTTTGGATTTATTTACAAATAAAAATTTATATTGCACTTTGTAGGATAAAATCTAATACCCCTAAATCAACAGCTTTAATAATAGATATTTTAAGCTGAAATTCTTATGATATATTACCGATATAAATATAAGTACATCTTGAAAATTTCCATCAACATTAGTTGTCTTATATCAATTTTAGTGTAAACTTGGCAGTGTAGAAAAACAATCATCATAGGACCAGATGACAAAAAAAATAACACTGTTTATGTTAAATTGTAAGAGAAAAAAAAATTCATAACATTTCTTCTCCCAGATAAAGGTTATATTGATCAAAGCTGAGTCATTTATTTCAAATATGTTGCAATCCAAGATACAGACTCTTACTGATACAATGAACTGCAATATTCTATACACTGATATTACTAATTTTGCTAAATGTTGTCTATACTGACTTAATCATCACAATGTTATGGTTACCATTAGTTGAATATGTTGTAAATGATTTCCTTTTTATTTTCTTAATTTCACACAATGTAAATCCACTTGTTCTGGAGAAAGTTTTTACATATTCAACTTATAAAATGGTGATAAGTATTTTGAAATAGTAAATAACCAGCTATTATGAAATGGGTAGTTTAATCTGGCACAAACTCACAATAATAGAGTAACGAAGTGGAGATAACACCTAATTTATGATGGCATCATAGGTTTACAGCATATGATTTCATGAATAGGAGTTTTCAAATGTGTGTAGTGAAGTTAACAGTGAAAGATGAAAGAACATTGGATTCAAGGTAACTGGTTATATTTTTTTTGGATGATACTAAATTTTTAACTAAAAGCCTATATTGGGTTGTCCAGAAAGTTCATGCAGAGTTTTAGTCGTTTATGTTCCAACACATTAGAACACGTCAAATTTATCGACAGACATATGCTTACATTTTCAATTAGCGCACACTTCAAACTACCTCTTGAGGAAAAAAAAGTTTAAAATTACCTAATTCTGCATCCCTATGAAAATGGAAGATTATAAGGTGCATTTTAGACACTTGATGTTTTTTTTTTTTTTAATCATAAAGTTAAAAATGCCTCACAAACAACAAAAAAGATATATGCTGTGTACAATGAAGATACTTTAGCTGAGAGAACTGTATGGAACTGTATGGAAGTGATTCGCTAAGTTTAGAGTGGGTGACTGTAACCTTATTGATGAAAAACACCGAGACATATCCCCCACCCACTACAGATGACAAATCAAGATATTGATCGAGAATAACCTGCATTACACAATGTGGGAATTGGCAGAAACACTAAATTTATCAAAATCCACCATCCACAAGCACTTAATAAAGCTTGGGTACTCAAATCGCTACAATATTTGGGTACCACATGATCCGAGTGAAAAGAATCTTTCGGATTGCATTTCATCTGATTTGCTGTATAAGCGCAATGAAAATCCACCCTTTTTGAAGTAAATTGAAATGGATCGTTTACAAGAATGTTCAGCAAAAAAGATCCTGAGGTAAGCAACATGAGCCAACTTTAGCAACCTCAAAAGCTGGTCTTCATCCTAAGAATAATGCTGTGCATCTGGTGGGATTGGAAAGGAAGCCTGTACTATGAGTTTCTGCCAAGTAACCAGCCAATGGATTCTGAAAAATACTGCTCACAAATGGACAAATTAAAAGGCAGCAATTGAAGAAAAACGTCCAGAATTGGTGAACAAGAAAGGTGTTTTCCATCATGTTAGGTGACCTTGCAAAAATTGTTATAGCTTGGTTGTGATGTATTACTCCACCTGTCATTCACCAAATATTGCTCCTTCAGATTTTCATTTAATCAGGTCTTTGTAAAATAATCTCAAATGGTAAAATTCTTAATTCTTTGGATGGAAAAAAAAAAAAAAAAAAAAAAAGTTCTTTTTCTGGAAGATGGAATCTAAGTTGAAGGGAAAATGTAGAAAGGTTGTGCAACAAAATGGTTCATATTTAACTGAATAAATATTTAAGGGCATAATTTTATTTTGTGTTTTAATTTCCCTTAAAAATTGGCATGACGTTTCCGGACAATCCAATATTTCTTCTAAAAGCAACATTTCTTAAAAAGAAAATTCTTTTCACCAATAGTGATGAAATAGCAAGCTTTTAAATAAATGCAACTCATACAGACACAAAAATGGTTATAGGAAAACTGCCACCTGGACAATGGAAAGGGCAAATTAAGTTTTGCTTTTATTTTAATAACGATACATTTTTAAATGCCATCTTGACGTTTACGGGATTATCCTAGCAACAAGACAAGTTGCTGAACTGATCACAGTGCATCTACAACTCTCCAAGTACATACAAATTTTCATATCACCCCATCATGAAGTTTGTCCAAATTGAACATGTTAAAAGCAGCTTATTTATGATGGCTACATCTATGTGAAGCAGAATAATCTGACGAATAATGTTATACCTTAAGAATGTGGGAAACATCAGCATAGCAACTGTAAAGCCAAAGTTTGTGGAAATGAAGTAGTTGGCCATATAAATGATCACACATGCTGCAGACATACACCATCCAGAAGTCCTATTTGCTTTATGATAATGGAATAAGTGATCAACATATGCTTGTGTTTTCCACAGTCAGAAACACCAAGCTACTCGAGAATTCAACTGTTTGGCAATGGAAAGTTTTAAAATTGTACCCGAGCTGTTTTACCAACTGTACACTATTCAATTCTTTGACTTCAAAAAGAGTTTGTGTTTATGCTCTGCTACTAAACAACTTAAGACATTCAACAACAACTCACTATCAACCCTATGCTCAATCCAATTACCCTCCTTATCGACTATGAACAAGCTGCCAGAAATGACACTGAAGAGGTCTTCCAAAACGCAGTAAAGATGTTTATATCACTTATTTCAAAAAAATATACCGCAAGATATAATCTGGGGGATTGCAAGGAAAATAGCAAACTGATGCTAACTTTGCCCTGCAAATTTGTAGGGTACCAGCTTTGGCATTCATTCCACCAGATAAAGTGATGCATTTGAGAGATTGCAAGAAACTATACCACCTGGAGATGATCTTATAGACTTCTTCAAAGATACATATATTGGCAGAACACATCAACAAGCAAGTTCCATGTTTTCCCAGTTACCATGTGGAATATTTATGATAGTGTAGCTGAAGATATCAGCTAGGAGCAACAATTCCTTGGAAGGATAGTATAGCCACATGCAAGCTACACAATTACTTCCTTCCAATCGAATATGGGAATTTCTTGAAGTGTTGAAGAGGGAGTAAGCACTAACCAGTGTTACCATCAATCAGATGCTTGCAGGACATCCAGCACTGCCTAAGCATTATCAAGATTCAACAATCAGAACAGCAAATATTGTACAAGACAGATATATAATTATAGTAATAAAAATACAAGTCTTATTGGATAATATGAAATGTAAGAATTGATTGTTGTAATATTTTTTTTTTTTATAAACATTAGTCTAACCAGACAGTTGTGTAATTAATAATTATTGTATATAGACCAAAATTTGCAATTTTAATTGTAATAATTATAGTGGTATAAAGATAATTCTTATTGGATTAACATGAAAAAAAAAAAAAAAAATTAGTTTAATTAGTATTTTAAAAGGTCCCCTATAATATTTAACTGTACAGAGTTAGAGAGAGAGAGAGAGAGAGAGAGAGAGAGAGAGAGAGAGAGAGAGAGAGAGAGAGAGAGAGAGAGAGAAAAAAAAAAAAAAAAAAAACACTTATCAAAATATATCTTAACATTTTACTCAAGGGGGCCATTTTGCAGCCAAGCTTAATTAATGATAATCAAATTTTCTTGTGAAATATGAAAGACAGAATCACAGAAATTTGTCACTGCACATGAGGTGTATGAAATAATTTGAAACAATTTCATAAAATTCAAATTCTAATAAATATAGAAATACTTACCAACTAAATTTAATGCATTTATATGAGAAAGCTTGACATCTGGATTCAGTATTTTCATAACATCACCTCTTTCCCTGGGACTCAGTGTAATAATATATTGTGCAAGTCCCCAAATCACAGATGCTTGTTCATTTGATGTCAGATGAGACCTAAAAAAGTTATTTGGAAATGCTGTAAATTGAAAATTATTGCATGACATAATAAAAAAACAAACATGGCCATGTTCAGAAAAGGAAAAAGGAAATTTGATAAATTTTCACTGAAGGAAGAAAGTAAACAGTGTTTTCTGAATTAGAAATTATTGTTCATTTTTTAGCCTTATACCTTCATTTTTATAAATTCAAAAATTCAGAAAAGCAAAAAATTACCACTGTAGATGACAATTTACTATATCTTTCCAATGTTTGAGTTCCGATTTTGGAGAACTGGATTGACTGTAATCACAAACATCAACTATGCCAAAATCCACTGAATCTGATAAGTTAGTTTGGGAAGAAATAGAGCCATGTTCACATTCAAAATGTGACAGATTAAGAGGATCTGGAAATGAAAAAATATTTTTAAAAAATCATTTGCTTATATTTCTCAAAAGAGTTGATTATAATAACCAAATTATTTAAAATAAAATAAAGATGTACATGCAGTATTAATGTAAATATGACATTTAAAACATAGGATGCATCAATATTTGATAAAATCTCATTGAAGTAAATATTTAACTATCAGCTTTCTTTCAGATAACTCCATAATTCCATCAAGTTTTCTTTCTCAAAGAATTACTACCGTTAAAAACCATGTAATTTGCACACCTGTGTAATTTATGCAGGTGATTTTCATGTAAATTTTGCACCCAAAAATTTTCAGAATTGCCAACAGTGTGGCGGGGGGATAGGAGAGAGGCTCAATTTAGCATAATTTCCCATACAATTACATTTTATTAAATTTTCATTAGATAAAAATAATTTGTTTAACAACAGGCAAGTATCACATTAAAAGATTAAATTACAAAGTGTTTGTGCTGTGTATAAACTATTTTACATTTCTTGCTAACAAGGACAGTATGTCAGATCTTTAGCAAGCTGCTGTAGATTTTCTCAAATCACAATCACAGAAAAAGTTGTTAAGAATTATCAGCAAAAACAAAGCTGATAAATACTCACAGGTGTTGCAAATCAAGATTTATTACCAATAAACATTAGCTTGGATGACACTTTACTCAATTGACAGAGGGAAGTGACCAACCAAACCGAATATGTAAACAGAATTTTATTTGGTCATGAGAGTCATCTTGTCAAGCTCTGATTTTCTGCCTATTCTTGTCAGAACCTTTGATACAGAGTATTGAAATTTCAATTCATTTCACATTTATAAAATGCTAAACAAAATTAAAAATTTGTCATTACCGTTATTGTCAGTATGAGTAGAATTTATTCTTTCACTGTGAAGGAGAAATTGAATATTGTTGGATATGCATTTGAATATGGTAATAGAGTTGCCAGGAGGCATTTTAATGTTAATGAGACAAATGTTCAAAATTGGCATAAACAGTATGACAAACCAAAAACTGCCCATAGGGATAAATCTATAAAATCCCAGAGTTTGAGCTTTATCATTGGATATGTGACAAACGTGATGAGAGTTTTGGTGTAAGCACCACCATAAGAAACATTTTTGCTTGTGCAAGAGATGCTGCACTATCAATGATAGGCTGTTATCAGTTGTGCCTGGTGTTTTTACAGTACATTGTATAATCCACAAGAAACATCAAGGCGCAAAAGTCCTAAGTGGTTGATTTCACAAATCATTGAGCACTTATCACAACAATAAAATAAAAGCACATTTTCTCAATTCATGACTGTTTCAACAACTGCCATGAGAATGGTGAATATTTTGAACATTTTTTGTTGCACATTGAAGCTAGTTGTCTAGCAAATTTCAGGATTTTTTTTTTTGCTTAAGGTATCAACCCATTCCTAGATACAAGTAAAGAGGAAAGTGATTTGAGGAAAACTTGATTCTGTCCCAAAATGATAGAGTTGAAGCCAAAATTTTAAAAATCTTATATTAAAAAAAAAAAAAAAAAAAAACTTTTGTAAACAAAATTCTTGATAAGAATTTTGGTTATGAAAGACATTTCAGGCTGCTACCAAACATTGTGGTGTCAAAATGTACTTTATTGCTTTACATAATATTTAGTGGAATAAGGCTTCAGAGCTGTCCCTAGTTACCCACTATACTATATTGTTTTGTTTTTTCTACAGTATTTTATTGTAATTGGCATTACTTTTACTAAGAGTACAGTTTAAAAAGAAAATATAAATAAAAAATAATGCACGTCATATATTTGAAAATAACTGTGTTGATACAATATTAGACTGCTCGTTTTTTAATTTGCATTATACCTAATACCATGAATGAGACATGTCAGTGCTGTGTTTTGGTACACAAGGAGGCGGCAACCAAAAAAGTTTTGGGAACCATTGACTTTAGAGTATCTTGATAATATTTTCTGCAAGATTTTCAGCCATAGTTAAGTTGTAAATAGCATTATGTATGAAAAACATTTTTTTAATGACTAAGAATGTGCCCACAATTTCTTTTAAAGCAAATTAACTCAAAAAGTTTTTCTAATGTAATTAAGTTTGGTATATGTATTGCAAATTATCAAAATGTTTTTCTTTTAATATTTAAATGAAAAAAAAAAAAAAAAAAAAAAAAAACTCAGGTCAGCAAAGCAAAAAGTTTAATATATACTTACTGGAATCAATTTCATACAAATAATTGGTCTGTATAGATGGAACGCCGATTTCTGCATCCAATAAATTAGCATTCAAACTTTGAGAGTCCAAACCAAAATTAAAGAGCCTATCACATTCCTCTGAATATTCAAGTTCATTTGTACCAAAACTGAAAAATGATCATGATCAAATAAACCTTTTCAATTACAATTAAAAAAAAAAAAAAATTCTTGTAAGATTGAAAATACAAAATTTAGTTTCTCTCATGAATATGAACTAACTTACCATCCGCAGCAACCTTTACACAGTTTATAATTCTAAATCTCAGAAATCACAAGTTATTCAAACCTGAAGTTGTGATATAATTCCATACAATTAAGAAATCCTAATTCTTTTTAATTATATCAATCATAGATTAAAATTAATAAATCTTGATCAGTAAATTCAAGCAAAAACATAGCCAGACATGGCATTTCTTATTTTCCAAAGAGTATATTCTTCTCTAAACAATTTTTTTTATTATTGAAAAGGCATAGTGAAAAAGAAAAATATGGAAATGAGTATTAAAAAAAAAAAAAAAAAAAAAAAAAAAAATCTACTCCCTCACTTCACAGACACATAACACTAAATTTTAAAATATACTGACCTCAAATGTTGGCTTTTCTTAAAGACTGAAGAAACAATTAAAAGCAAAGAAAAATATATTAATTATAGTTGGTGTCATGATAATTAAAAATGTTTACTTTTTTATGCATTAATATGAATACTGAAAATGAAAAATAAATTTTTTCAATTTTACAAATAAAATTTCCAACAACTTTATGTGCCTCTAAAAGTATTGTTGATGTGGAATTGATGAAAACTGGACTAAAAGAGACTAATGTTCACTATTAGAAAACAAATAAAAATTTCAAATTCTACAGACTCAGCCATTTTATAAAATGTAGAAATTATTCTTATAAACCTTTTCTTCATAATTTGGTAAATTTGCATAAAAAGAACTTAGGATAATGAAAATTAATGAAATGCCCAAAATTAGAGAACAAAATTGCAAATACACTGATAAATTAACATTGGCTTGAACTGATACAGAGTATTAATGACATCTACAAGTTTTTTTTAATTACTTCTGAACAGGACTTTAATAATTTGTCCCAGACATCATGCCGCTTTGAACACAACAAAAATCAGTCACTGGTTTCTTTCACATATTTGCTGATGATCTTTCAAGGAGAGTAGGTTAGATTGAAATCTAGACATTGGACAGACCATACACATACAAGGCAATATTGCATATTATCCTTTTTTTTTTTTAAATGTTGTTTTCTCCAGCCTTAGTTTTTTTTTTTTAAATCCAGAATCTTGATCTGAAATGACATTCATTTCTCTGGCTACAAGTGTCCCATCTGGTGCCTTTGTGAATTTTGGGAATTGTTCTGACATTATATACATCATGTCCTACAGAAGTTCTTCACATTTCATGATCTAGGAAATTAGAGGAATATTTCTTTTGTATGCCAATGCCATTAATATATGCTGAAAGTGAGGTATCACCATTTCCATAAAAACCTCAAAATGAAATCACCACTAAGAAAACACGACCCAAAACAATCTATGCATTTAGAATAATACAAATGCAAGGCTAGTAGTCTCCTAAAGATAAAAAACTTGAAATACATAAATATAAGTGAGCTATTCTAAATAAAACCAAGCTATTTTTTGCAATATATTTAGTAATTTTTCTTAGAAAAAAATTTTCAGTTGCAAGAGACACAAAAGTCCTAAAATACAAATTTATTTTTGACAAATTTAAGGGGCTATCTAGTCTTGAATTTCCATTTCAGTTGGTTCAAGTTAATCCTGAGCCAATTAAAATGTAGTCTTTAGTGAAGGTAGGTTTTAATTTATACCTAAATGTTATTTTGAACACAAGAGAATTACCCAGAATAGGGAAAGTACCAAAAGATATATGGTTTAGTGCCATGATGGTGGTGTCAATTAAAATTTGGAAAGTATTTTGTGCTTAAAAAATATTTTTGGAAAATATTTGTGCTTAAAAAGAAAAATTCTTGTTTGTCAATCAAAATAAAGGAAATAAATTCAATGCAAACAAAGTTTTTTGTGGAAGGTTGTAAGGCAAAACTGGGTGAAAGAAGATTACGCCATAATGAGCACTATGCTGTACAAGACAATCATATTTCAAGAACAGTTCTGATAACCATATTTGCATTACTAGAAACAGCCAGGAAAATAGTTACATTTTTATCCACTATAATGGTGAAACAAAATGCAATATAGTTTAGGTGGTTATTAATTTTTAATTTCTATTTGGCTTGAAAACTCAAAAAGTCATAGACCTACCTTCCCAAAACATGAAATAAAGGAACAATTAGTGATAGGTACTTGATCGAAGATTTTGATTTATGAATTAAGATCATATATTAACTTAATTTTCCATGATATTAAGTAGAACTGATAAAAATGTGTTTTCTTTTAAAGTATTTACATGAAGAACAGACAATGATCAATATTCTGACTAAGTGGTGTTTCACTAAAATAAGCCCCAAATATTTTAGTAAAAGTGTATTAAAAAATACCAAATTTCCAGATTGGAAACTTCTTGGAAAGTACTATAGTATTTATGATATCTTGAATTTTGGCACTGATGTACACCTCCATTCCAGGTGCTAATTCAATTTGTAATTCATTTAATCTTATTTACTATATCCATAAAATCTATGACCTATCTTCTGTTGGAAAACCACCTGTCAATCTCCCTTAGGGATTTGATACTGCATTTGATTTTATCAGGATATTCTTTTTATTGCAGATTCATGCCTTTTATGGGCGATGGCAACTGAGCAAGCAACTTGACCCTATATTTCCTTGAGGGGATGAAAGCGTCGATTCCAGCTTTAACCCAGGATGAGACCTCAGAAGCACATTCTTGAACGGTGAGCGTAAAGACACCATCCCAGTCAGCTCGTTGATAGTAGAACGAAGTTCTAGTGGTAGGAGGTTCTTTACAGGGGGTGGAGTTGAAGGAGATGTTAACAGATACTACCGCATGATCAGTTACCAAGAGGGCAGAGTTGTGTGGCGCTACAGGACTCGGGGATGTAAAACACAGATCGAGAAGAGAGGCTTTACCTTCCCGGTTGAAAGCAAAACGAGTGGGGAAGTTAACTATCTGCGTGAGGGATTGAGAGACTGAAAAATTGAGTGTCTGAATGTCTGCGTGGTCAGTAGTAGCATTCTTAAGCCACATGGTATGATGGGCGTTAAAGTCGTCAAACACAAATATGTGAGTAAACGGGTGGAGGGAGAGAGCCTTGTCTATGCTGTCAGAAATGCTATCGAGTATCCCAGTCTTGAGAGCATGGAGAGTGGTAAAGGAAGAAGAGATAGTCGGAGACACATGTACGACTAGTCTGGCGATTTGAGAGACAACTCTCTGGCCAGAGGGAGATGGTCCTTGACGTAGACACCAAGACCGTGCATGTGGGTTAGAGAGTCTTTTCTAAGGAGAGGAAGGTAGCCTGGGATCGAGAGATCAGAGGAGGGGATAGATGAGAAAACTGCTCTCTATTAATCACCACGGAGTTCCTTCCCTGCCCTCCATTAGAAAGTCTGACACTCAACTTCGAGAGCAACTCTCTGCGGCTGCTCGGTCTCATGTTGACTGCCAACCTGAGATGGAACAAATACATTGAGTCAATTGCTTCATTCCCCGCAAGGAAAGTTGGCCCCGTGTCGCGCCAGGAAATTTCTCTTCCTGAAATCGATCCTCCAGATCTACAAATCAACAATTCGCCCTTGCATGGAGTATTGCTGCCATATAAGGTCTGGGGGTCCCTTCTGTTTACCTCGGGGCTCTTGATAGGCTCCAAAGGCGGATATGCCCTGCTTTGGCATCTCGTCTACAGTCACTTTCTCACAGACACGCCGTTGCCTCTGTGTTTTACAAATACTTTCATGGCAATTGCGCCGAGGAGCTGCATTCGCTGGTTCCCAGACTTCACGAGTTCAAGCACCCTACAAGGCTGGCATCCTGCTCTCACCCTTTCACTGTCGAAACTCCTAAATGTAGCCGTCTCTTCTACTCCAATAGCTTCATGTCTTACACCTCTCGCCTGTGGAACTCCCTTCCCTATTCTAGTTTCTCAGAGCTATAATCTCCAGCTATTCAAATGTAATGTCAATCGACATCTCCAGTTGCCTTGATCTATCCACTACCCTTCTCCTCATCCTTTCTTCTATCTGGTATTTCTGGATGAACCATGCATTCATAGTTGCAGAGAAAATGTTCTCTACATTTTTTGCATATTAAAAAATGATCGCATCACAGATTGTATTAAGCTTTCAAATTTATGATCTGTGAAAATAGATCTTTTTAATAACAACATTCCCAAAGACAGATTCAAACTTAATTTTAAAAATATTTAAAATAACCTATCACATTTTGCAGTAAAAAAAAAAAAAAAAAAATTACAAAATTTTCACGGGGGTGGGGGGTATGGTGAAGAAGGAATGTAAAAGAAATTTTTTTTTTCCATGACTTTCTAAAAAAACATTCCTAAGATAATTTCATTAATTTGTGAATAAGTTCTGAAAGTTTTGCTAAAGTCAGACAATTATTTAATTTTTGCAAGAATTTCCAAATTAATGTTTTTCAACTGGAAAAAAAGTTGACCAAAATTTCTCATCTGCTGGAAAGGATAAAAATTTTTTTAATATACTTTGGTCTTTCCTCTTAATAACACACATTTTTATGATAAAACCTTTTTATTAAATCTGGAGCCTTTTTTCATCATACTATGCCGATTTTTCAGCAAATTATTGAAGATACTTAATTATGGCTCACATTTTGGTCTCCATTGTTATGCTCAGTAATCTTAGCAGAATTTTGAATGGAACCCTTTATTCAATTCAGAGATTATTATTTTGCTTCACATGCTGAAAAATGATGTGCATCTGAAGTGGGAATGCAACTGTTAAAATGTTGTGTGTACAACAATCAAGATAGGTATGAGTTAAAAAAAAAAAAAAAAAAAACATCACCTCAAAGAAATTCTGACATAAAACAGAGTTAATCAACAAGAAAATTTTGAGGCATCAACTTAAAACAAGTCAGTTTAATAAAATTGTGACCCCTTTTTCAAAGTCACCAATTTATTATCAGTGAGTTTAGGAGTAGAAGCAATTGACGTAAAATGTATGGATTGAAGAGAATTTTGTAAAATTAGTCCAATTATAAAGAGGTAAAGAAAAATTCTTGGTTTGACCAAGAAGCCATTCCAGTCTACTTTGCAAGCCAATGGTATAAAATGTTAAAGAAATACAGATAGAATTATTTAAAATGTTTTCAGATAGTGACCAGAGTATGTACAGTTTTAGATTAACTCAGAGTTTGTTTTGTTTTTTTTTTTTAAATGACTTGTAGGACATTTTTAAAATCCCCTCATAAACCTGAATAAAGCTAAGATTTTCTATCAAGTACTGAATAATTGATTCAACAAAAGCACAGAGTCAACCTAATCACTCAGTTGTACAATTTTTCCGCTGGTACCAGGTTGTTCATAAATATAAGTTATTTTTTAATTTTAAATATACGAACATTGCAATATGCTGTAAGAAAGATATAGCCTCAAAAGAGGAGATTCTAAATAAATGATTAATTTCACTGAAAAATGAGAGCAAAAATTTGGAAATTGCAAAGTTGAGATCATAAAAGAAATATCAGAAAAATAAAAAAAGTGTGCATTTGAGATTTGAGAAAAATAAAAAGAAAAAGTTTATTAATCAGGAAGAAAATATTTACAGAAACTAGTGGTGTAAACAGAAAAAAACGATATGGAATATTAAATTCTAAAAAGAAATAAAAGTAACAAGCTACTATCCTTCAAGAGAAACATGAAAGTTCAACTAAGCCCATGAGAAACAATTGCTACTGGACACAACCAAGAAATTTTAAGCTATGTATATTATTCATTTAAGACAAGGTTCTTTTATATTTTGCAAAGCTGAAAAAGATTCTAAAAACACCAAATTAATAGAATGGGCCTTTCTAGACAGTAATGCAATAGAAAAGAGCACCAATTAGAGAATAAAAAAAAAAAAAAAAAAAAAGAGAAAGGTGATAGAATTCCTAACCTCAGAGAGAAAAAAAAAAAAAATAAAAAACATTAAAAACTCTTACCGGTTTTCAAATTCTCTTCCTTGACTCCAGTCAGATTCAATGAGATCTAACTGGCTAAAGGAAAATATGTCCGAAACATCTGGCAATGAATTATCCATACTCCAAACACTATCAAAATACAATATATATTAAAAGTAATAAAATATGTCTTGCAAACAAAAACCGTAAACATTCTCAAAAAATAATAGGTTAATGTCTCAGAACTGGAAGAGAGGGAGAAAAAACAAAAAACAGAATAAAGTTATCTACGAAGAACACTACATCTACAGATTTTCAGCAAATAAGAAAAAAATGTTATTCAAAAGGCAAAAATGCTTTTGGGTATATTTTACTGATAAAGTATGAAATAGTAGCCTTTAACTAAGTTGTGCTAACCTATCAACAAAAACATTTTCTTCCAAAATAAAGATTTGGAAAAATTATTAAACTTATGGAATCTATTAATATCAAAAAGAATTTCTACATTGATGAATTGGATATCATCTGATTTTTCAGTGAAATCTGGGAAAACACTTTGAAAAATGTTAGATATTTTATGCTGATATTTATAATTTCAAAATAAAAATAGCAATAATGTCTAGATATTTCTGTTAATATCCTGAGATTAAACACTTAACTTTTGTGGTGTATCAGATTTGTTTAAATAGGTTTGAAGCTTACTTTTTTGGCAAAAATAAACTTCCTTTCATAATCATTAAAACTTTAAAGTACTTCCAAAGATTTGTCACAAAATGAGCATACAAAAAAAAAAAAAAAAAAAAAGTCTGAAACTTAGTTTTATCATCAAAATCTTGATGTAAAATTAGTCCAATTATAAAGAGGTACAGAAAAATTCTTGGTTTGACCAAGCAAGAAGCTCTTCCAATAGATAGAACAGTCTACTTGCCAAAGGATTTTTTGATGAAAAAATTTATTTTTAATCCTTTTTAAAACCTTCAAAATTTTCATTAAACATTGCTTTTGTGTTAAAGGGAGAGGAAAACCAAAATATTAGTATGGGAAATTTGAGTCTTTATGGTGAAAAAAAAAAAAAAAAAAAAAAAAAAACATTCATTTGGAAATTCTTGGAAAAATAAGATAATTGACAGATTTTAATGAAACTTTCAGGACTTATTCACAAATGAAATTATTTTAGAACCTTTTTTCTTTAAAACATCTGTTACCCACTACTTATTTAATTTTATAAAAATTTCATTTTTTGTAGCACTTAAAGTTTATATTAGTTATAAGAACAAGTCCTTGGAGAAATTAAATCAATTTTATTTTTTGTTAAATAGGACCCCCTCACCAAGTTCCATGTGGTATTCATCAAGTAATTTTACTACAAACCCTTACCATAAATCGTGCAATCGGATTATCAGTAAATGTATAAACACCTCATAAAGCCATGGTAATAAAGCTTTATGATATTTTAAACCAAAAGTAATGTTTTAATTCAGATTAAGCTTTAAAGAAATTCATCTTTCTCAAATAAAATTTCAGAAAACTAAGACGGGTATCTTATTTTTGAAAAATTTTTTTTTTTTTTTTTAATAAGGAGAATAATGCTGTATTGGCAGATTTGTCAATATGGTTGGTTTTAGCAACATAAAAAAAATTCCCGTCAATTTAAATTCAGTTTGGAATACAGTATTTTGAAAAACTATTTTAAATGGAATTATAAAATTTAAGCTTGTAATTAAAAGTTTAAAAAAATTAAAAACCTCAATATTTTTAATCATTTTAAAATGTACAACCTTAGGTTACAGCTTTTTTTTTATGAAGTAAAAGAAATTTTCTGAAAAATAATCACGCATTTCCTTTTTCTTTGAAATGAGTCATGAATTAGTTCAATTTTTACACTATACTCACAACCAATCAGCATTCTTTGCTTAAACTATCAAAACATTCATTATTGCAGCATACTTGATAATAAATGGCATAATTTTACATTTCAAGCAACTAAAATTATCATCAAGTCATGAAACAAAAGTAAAATCAATTAGAATTTTCATATTCACACTTGTCATTAATTTTTTTAGCTATGTTTGGATTGTTGTCCTCATCTTTGCTATATTCATGACATTTTGACTGTTGTATGCTCTGGCCTTCTTCCTCAAGGACACATGGCCCAGTGGATAAAAACTTGTTTAAGTTAAAGGGAGATAATTGAGACATCCGGGTGAGGCATGGCACGTGGAACTAGAGCAATCTACCCCCCCCCCCAGTGGAAGAAATAAAGGGTTCAGTTCAAAATTTCAATCACCTGAAGAATGCCGCGTACAACGGCCTAAACGCCGTGAATATGGTAATAAAGCTCGAATTGTTTAGCATTTCATTTCAGAAATATAGTTAGTAAATAGCACAAGAGACCAATATTTAAACTTAAAAATGTGAATTAAGCATTTTTCAAGAATAATTCAATATACAATCAAAACTGACAATTTTACCATTTTTTTTTTTACTCAAATCTGTAGTACTTGATAACGAAATCATAATAACGACCTGAAAGTTGCATGTAAAAAAAGAAATACAGTGTAACCCGGATATAAGAGAGTTGTCTCTTATATCCGGGTTTGGTCTATTTTATATACATTAACACAGGCTCTAATTTGGGACCAGAGAAAATCTCTCTTATATCCGGGTTTGGTCTATTTTATATACATTAACACAGGCTCTAATTTTGGACCAGAGAAAATCTCTCTTATATCCGGGTTTGGTCTATTTTATATACATTAACACAGGCTCTAATTTTGGACCAGAGAAAATCTTATATCCGGGTTACACTGTACTAATAAAAAAAATTAAGAAGAACATGTTTCTGTGCTTCAAAAATTAAAAATAATTCAATGGAGATAGGCTAAAAAGAGAATTCAATTAGGTGCCGGGTATAAATAATTTTTGTAATTATGATTAATTTGCCGCGTCCTTACACTAGTAAAGTAAATGTCATAAAAAGTTATGGAAGGTGAAGTAAGTGTAAGGGATTCAGAAAAAATATTAAACTTATTGAATTATTATGGGTCAATCAAAAATTGGAAATCTAACGCTCATAGAACCAATGCTATGAAGAAAAAAAATAAACAAAACAAAAACTTTCGGTGATTTTGAATTGTGCTGTGAAGGTCCCTTCGAAGAAAAATGGGAAATACTTCAAATCCTAAGTATAGATTAATATTTTTAAAGACTAACGACTAGTAGGTCTATCAGTTTTAAATCCATAAATTTGAGGTTGTAAAATAAAAATAAAAAAGCAATAAATAACAACGCTAAGTTTATTTAAAAAAAAAAAAAAAAAAAAAGTTTTTAAGAATAATAACGTCATTAACGCTGGCTAAATTGCTTACCCACTAATTAGAATTAATTTTTTCAGTTACATTAGAAAAGCAAAGTGCATTTAGAGGTAAGAAATGATTTCGGTTTTAGTGGCCGGTCAGCCATATTTAGAAAGCAACAAACAGGAGAAAATTGCCACGACAAATTGAACAGTAAAAGAAAAAGAAAGAAAAGCTAAAATATAAGCGGAAAATAAAATTTTAAAAAAAAAATCAACTAAGCAAATTTAATGAGAAAAGCTCAAATTTGTTGAAAAAAGTAAGCTTAGAGCTGCACGTGGTTTAGAAACTTATTACTCATCCTCAAACCACGTGCAGCTCTTGATTAAAACTAGCGACAACAGAAATAATACATACATCGTAGTTAATCCAGATAATTAAAATTTTAATAATTTCAACAACAATCATGCAAAAAACGTAAGTGCGGAAAACTATAAAACCGTTGCCTTTATTTAATCAATTGGTTTATATTTTCAATTGCAAGTTTAAATTTGCATGTAGGAAAGTGAAATATAGCAGCTGTGATGTTTAGATTAATTAAAAAGAAACGACTGTCCAATTTACAAATTTCTGAAATATTTGTTTTGCCATTTTATTATTCTATATATTTTGAACTACAACCATTTTTAGTTTGTTGATTTGAAAATAAAAGTATACATCAGCTGTTTTCTCTGAATTCGGGCTTGAAAGAAAAAAAAGGACCTATCCGGCCGTAAATTTATTTTTCTAGAAAAAGTTGTCAAACAATGAACATTGAAAATTAAGGTTTCATTGCATTCACGCTATTTAATCTTTTTGTGTTACTCAACAAAATGAAAGATAAAAATAAAATTCGACTTGAATATTTAATTCGCCTTTACGAGTTTCAAATTTAAATGTAAAAATCAAGTCTGTATAATCAATTATAAAATTACGCAGAGGAAGCAAATAGAAGTGAATATTAAATCGCAGAATCAAACTTGCTTATATTATCACAGTTCGAGTTAATCATTAACAAGTACTTTACTACAAGAAAGCAAATTTAACAATTTTTAAGTTAATCATCCACAATACTCTTGCTACGTAGAGTTCGTGTTGAAAAAAAAAAAAAAAAAAAAAAAAAAGAAGAAAGTAATTATAGAAGAGAAATTTACTCAAATTATGAAAATGGTGTGAAAAGCTTGCATGCAAAACTAAGTTAGTAAACAAAGTGCACAAATGCAGCTGCAGCAGGCAACCTTGGGATAATCAACACATTGCGAGTATAAAAAGATACAATCCGGTAGTAGTAAAAATAAGTAATTCAAGTAATTAGTAAACTAAACTAACCTCCAATACCAGCGTTCCATCTTTAACAATTAAAAAACAAATCAGACGATTCAAAGAGGAAAATAAATGACTTATCAGAAAAAGGAAAGTACTACACACACACACACAAAAAAAAAATATTCTAAATTAACTTTTTCCTAGTTAGACGAGAATTTTTTTAAAGCATTTTGTAAACGTAAAAGAAAAACAAGTTCCTGAAAACTGAAAAGTAAGAAGCACAGGTTACAAACACGAGAAAGGGTTTTTCTTTAGTTTAAAAAAAAACAAAAAGACTTAGCATAGAAAACTCAGAGAAAAAAGTAAAATTAAATGAAAAAAATAAATAAAACACATCCAAAAGAAGTTGTTAGTGTTATTTAATTTTATAAAGTATGATTTAGGAAAAATGTATTGTTACCTTGAAATTACAGAACTGCCATCAATCATTTCTTGTCACTGCAACACAAAAAATTCCACTTAATGATGCTAAGATCGGTGATCGTTTGATTTTCAGATGTTTAGTTTTTATTACTGATTTTTGCATTAAGGGATAATAACGTTGCAATAATTTAGTGTCTTTTTTAAGTAACACTATAAGTAGTTTTTAAACAATATGAAATATATTTCTAACCACCATAATTCTAGTGGTATCCAACACATAAACTGAAACAAACAACGTGTAAGAATAAAAGATGCCGGGAGTTTGACGTCATTAATAACTTCTGCCTTCCTTTTCATTGGTTGATTCATTTACGAAACTATTAGGTCTCCTAATGTCTCGCATACTTTTCAAATTTTGCAATTTGTTGACTTAAAAAGTTTGTCTTTAATTATGATTGTTGTAACTTTTGTTTTGTGTCTTTTTTTTATATTTCATATGTTCGTATCTAAAACCTACTGCAAAGTATATTTCCCGCCATATTTTGTGTTGAGCTGCATTATTCATGCTTGTGCACGTAGTGTAAGAAGAGTTTGTTCGTGTACCAATTAGAGACTGACTTAAATTTAGTAAATAAATAAACACTGTATATTTTCTGGTCCATTTGACACATTTCCTGTTTCTCTGATGTAGATTCTACAATGAAACCAAGGTACTAACTTTTTCCCTTTCAAGGGGTTTTATTAAACACCTCAATGTGTGTCTTGTCTATGAACCTTCCCCTTTTCAAGGGATTTTAAACATACCTCAATGTGTGTTTTGTCTTTGAACTTTTCCATTTTCATGGATTTTATTAAACATACCTCAATGTGTGTCATACATTTCCATTTTCAGGGGTTTATTTTAAACACACCTGTGTGTATGTAACTTTCCTCTTTTAAAGAGTTTTTTTTTAAACACACCTAAATGTGTGTACTTAAAAACACCTCAAATGTGTATACTTATACTTCTTCTCAAGGGTCTTATTATTTACCACACAATGTATAAAACATCTAAATAAATTGTTATTTGTTGATAAAGAAATCTTGTTCATTTTAAATTGCATTGTTACGTCTGTTGCATTGGGTTAAGATTGCTTTATTCTGGACAGCACTCGGAATAATTATTAATCGCTGGCACTATCTTATAAGTTAGCCCCAACGACCTAACACTTTCTGCACCCCATCAATCTACAAGTCCTATTATAACGACTCCTGAGAAAGTCTGCTCCTTCAACACTTCTGTAACCAAAAAGTTCAAATTTCTCTACTTATAAAATTATCATTGCTTCTTTGCCTTTTGGCCAGGATGAAAGCAGAGTATCTTTCTCTCCTCATTTGAGACCAGAGAAGAAATCCAATCACAAGAATCCTGTTGCGGCGCTAAGCAGGTTGACTGTTAACCCCGCAAACAGAAAAATAATATAAGGTAATACGATCGAAGCAAGGACAACAAAGACGAGGATGTAAAAATTTAAGCCAAATTTTATTAAATAATCTGGCACAAGTATATACAAATAATCGTTTGTGGTAGTTCGGTCGTGTAGTTTTGAAAGAGCGTTGTCAGGTTTCAAGGCGACAGCTTGGAGGTAGGCCGATGGAACAGCGGTGCTCGAGGTCCAGTCGATCCCTGGATGTCTGTACTTGAGTAAAGAGCGCGTCGGCGCTTGAGGAGAGAGAGGATCGACGCGGACAGTGCTGGTGTTGTCAGTTCTTCCTTGGGTAGACTGTCGTGCAGGACCGCAGCTTGGTAGTCCTAATAAAAGGACGTTCGTAATAACGCGGCTAGGTTAGTCCTGAAAAGGACTATTGCATATTATGTAACCGAGGGTAGACTATTGCATATCATGTAACCGAGTATAGGCTAGTGCATATCATGTAACCGAGGATAGACTAGTGCATATCATGTAACCGAGGGTAGACTAGTGCATATCATGTAACCGAGGATATGCTAGTGCATATCATGTAACCGAGGATATGCTAGTGCATATCATGTAGCCGAGGATAGGCTAGTGCATATCATGTAACCGAGTGTAGGCTAGTGCATATCATGTAGCCGAGGGTAGACTGTTGCTGATGTCTGCTTCGCTGCTGATGAAGCTGGGCTGCTCTGCTGGCTCTAGCTGCTGATGATGATGAAGCTGGGCTGCTGCTGGCTCTAGCTCTGGCTGCTGCTGATGATGAAGCTGGGCTGCTGCTGGCTCTAGCTGCTGCTGCTGGCTTTGGCTCTAGCTGCTGATGATGAAGCTGGGCTGCTCTGCTGGCTCTAGCTGCTGCTGCTGGCTTTGGCTCTAGCTGCTGCTGATGAAGCTGGGCTGCTCTGCTGGCTCTAGCTGCTGCTGCTGGCTTTGGCTCTAGCTGCTGCTGATGAAGCTGGGCTGCTCTGCTGGCTCTAGCTGCTGCTGCTGGCTTTGGCTCTAGCTGCTGATGATGAAGCTGGGCTGCTCTGCTGGCTCTAGCTGCTGCTGCTGGCTTTGGCTCTAGCTGCTGCTGATGAAGCTGGGCTGCTCTGCTGGCTTTGGCTCTAGCTGCTGCTGATGATGAAGCTGGGCTGCTCTGCTGGCTCTAGCTGCTGCTGCTGGCTTTGGCTCTAGCTGCTGCTGATGAAGCTGGGCTGCTCTGCTGGCTCTAGCTGCTGCTGCTGCTGGCTTTGGCTCTAGCTGCTGCTGCTGATGAAGCTGGGCTGCTCTGCTGGCTCTAGCTGCTTCGTATGGTCAGCGAAGGTGAGAGGGGGAGCTCGTCGCTCAACCCCGAGGCCAAAATTCAGCCGGGAGAGTTAATTTGGTGGAAAAAAATCCGCTGTGTTTATATAGGCTGAGGTCGGCAACGTAGCCTGTCAGCGATATATTTGGGGTGATGACTGAAAATTACCTTCTATTTTTTGGCTGTACACATGGGTTCCATTCGGACACCATGTGTATATAAAGTGGTTTCTGGTAATTGTTTTTGGTTAGGAAAGTTCGTATATGTAAATGTTTCGTTTTTTTTAGTTTGTGTGAGATGTTGACTGAAAAACGCTGAGTCACCGGAAGTTAACGGCATTCGTTATGTTTTCCGCGGTGACGCTTTTAGATGTTTGAGTAGCCGGCAGTAACTTCCGGCCGGGTGCGATAATCCCAACCCTGTGGCAGCACCTTCCTCATTGCACTAAGAGAACTTGGATCAGTGTAATATTGATACCAGTGTGACAGTGGTTGTGAGGACAGGGAAATTTTTTCCTTGGCCCATATGCATGTGTAAAAAAGATCTTGTGTTATATCTTGCCATTGTAGGGAGATCAGGTAAATAACTTATCATCTCCTTTACCCTTAAAGGCTTAATAAACCTAATCCACAAAGGGATACAACAGCACTTGGTGACAAACAGAATCTCCCATTAAGAACACATATGAATATCTTCCTTAGACCTGTTGTCATAAAAATGCAAGATGATTTAAATGTGCGCATCCTCTGAAATTGTTAAAAATACAAATTAAACAAATTCGGCTAAGGAAAGCCTTGATCTTTCTGTCTCTAAAACATTTGTCACTGTAAGGCTGTAGTGAAAGTGATAATCAGGTACCCCGGGAAAAAGTTTGTGTTTTGTGTGCGATCTGCCGAAGAAACATTACCAAAAAGTAGTCAGCAAAAATAGCGAAGAAAACAGCGACTTACCTCGTCAAACCAAGCGGAAGCGCGTATTCTATGACGGGGAACGTGACGAAAAAGAAACAAGTCCGTCGCAGGAGTCGTTATAACAGTATTCTGATATACAAATTATGGAGCATCCCATCCCAGCTGTCGATGAATGGGAAAAATAGGTTCTGCCGATTGTGTGTGTGTGTGTGTGTGTGTTTTTTTTTTTTTTTTCTCTAACTGGTTACACGCATTGTGATTCAAGATAGTACCGGCGAATCGAGTTTTCAGCATTTCTTTCTGCTCCCAATATTCGAGTCTGTACTTACAGTGATTTTTCTTTCTGTTGTGGAAGTAATCTGTGACAAATACTTCCTTTGCTTTCAGAGCACTTGAGATGAGAAATCAGAGTGCAAAGTTCAAATTCCAGTTGAATTTGTTACATTCACTTACATGCAAATACCCTTGGGGAATATATGATTCCATTTCTTCTTCCTCCAGTTATGGGTTGAATAACAGGACAGACTGGGTCCTATAGCCTTGGTTGGCAACCAGTTTACTGCAGAAAGAAACAGCAGCCTTCTACAAGAAATTTTCTGCCTAGTCAGTTATAAATCAAGAGAGACATGGTCATTCAAGCATGTATCATGTATGGTACTTGACTTAGGTTTCTCAAATACACTGTTTATTTCTCTTTCCACTATTGATGAAAGCTTCCTTCCTAACCTGTTGTTTGAAATAGTGTGGCATGTTAACATCTTGATTATGTTATTATTTTCTATTATTGTGCTATCCATTTTTTAGTTGTTGTTGAAAGTACTCAAGTGATGAGCTTTCTCTCATTTGGTACAGTTCTATGTGATTCTGTCACACTAGTCCACATGGTTCAAAGAAAGATGGTCACACTAAAACCTATAGGCTTCATTCAATCCAAGCCATTTTTACTTATTGACCTGAGAAAGCAGCAGTATACAGTTTACAGTTTAGATATTTCTGAACAGGTTTGACACTATGCATGACATCTATATGAAAGTCTTGATCTGACAAGAACATGACAATTTGTCTATTTAAAAACATTGACAATTTTGCTTTAGTCTTTATAACAATTGTGTTGGGTGAAACTACCTCTTTGTTTAATTTCTTTATTTCCTATACTAAATTTGTTATAACTGATCCATCTACCAAGGTACTTGAAGTGTTTGCTATTTACTAATTTTATATCCTGAATTTTTATGATTGATTCAAGGCATGTGCCATCATTGCTTTTAAATCATTCTTTCTGTTTTAGAAAGGCTTATCTCAAATTCTATTTCTTGAAACACTTAGTTGAGGATGTTGATTATTTTGTTCAAGATCATTCTTATCCCAACTATGAATACCTATGTCATCAGCATAGCCCCCTCCCCCCATCAGTAC